AATGGCTGAATTTATCGACAATATTCACAATACTGATACATATTTGACTTCAAATTTATGTATTAAGTTTCATTCAAGTAAAAGTATTTAGAAGTTGATGGGATAGACCTATGTTCTATAATGGATGTCTTAGAGCTGATATGATTATGATTCTAGTCAAAAGTATATAAATATGAAGTGTTACCTGTCGTTTCAAAATTCATCATAAAATCGTTGCATAATATATCTGACAGAAATTCGTTACCGGTGGGTCGTGATGTCGGAGTAGCCTATGGAGTTTCTTGGTTTAGGAATCTACAGATTTCAATGGAGAAAAACGAGCAAAATGAAGCTATTTGCTCATTCCAAGGAATCCCTTTTGCAATTTTTTGTTAACGTTCAAAAGTACCTTTCTGGTCTAATTGAAATTAATGATTTTAACTTTGACTTTGACTTAAACGCACAAAACTGAGGATGCAAGAAGTTTAGCATGGAGTACGCTCGTACGTGCACCCACAGCCACAATCTTTCCAAAAGTGTTTCCCGCACCACGTGACGTCTGTCAACGTCCTTCCCTGTCAAAAATGTCAAAATCTGATTCAACTTACTGATCGATTATTCCATCGGTGTTGCCATTACATTCAGAAGTATATTAAACATCAAATCAATCAAAGTATATTAGATTGCCTCTTTGGCCGAGTGGTCGCAAGTGCGACTGCCGGGCAAGAGGTCTCGGGTTCGATTCCCGGATCAGGTAAAGTGTTACTGGGTGTTTAAAATTGTTAGGAGTAGCACGGAGTCTGAAATTATGGCAATAGGTCCGGTATATGGCAATAGGCTCACCCCCTATTACATGGGTTTCATAAAATAAATAGTGAAAAAGTGGGTGTTACATTGTACAGTGGCATTAACTCGTCGTGTGCCGTAACGTAGATCTACGCGAGACACAATGCATTTTCTATTGTGTTTTCTATGGCTATCAAGCGGCTAAGTGCCGTAGTGCCTACCCCTTCAGGAATAAAAAGGCGTAATGTTATGTTTTATTAGACATCAGTCCTGAAAGTGTATAAAAATGCCGATATTATTATCTTACTCCTATGACTCAACATAGGTTATTTTTATTATTAAGAGGTCGATGTTCGGCCAGTAATTATTTTATATTTCTTTTAACATATTGTTGCTGATTAAAACTAATGAACTCATTCATGACTCTTTGTTTGTATTTTGTAATGAAAATAGGGTTTTTATTTCGTATAAAAATCATTGAATTTTATATTATAGCCTCTACATTTACCTCATTAGACGAGGACTTGGGTTCAGTGCCCGAACAAAAGTAATAGTATTATTTTAGCATTATTCTTATCATCATACGGCGTCATATCCATTCTTATTATATAGATGGTGGGCAGGCCACAATTGTGCGCTTCTCACGTAAGTTTCTGCCTCGCACAGCAAATCTGTGGAATGATCGAATCGTCGGCGGTATTTTTGAACCATTACGACCTTCAAACCTTCAAGAAAAGAGCATATTCCTTTCCTCCAACACACCTGTGACTCCTCTGGTATTGCGGGTGTCCATGGACGGCGCTGATCGCTTACCATCAGCTGATTCGTCTGCTCGTTGGCCTCCTAATCCATAAAAAAATATTTCAATTGTAAATAAAACCATAGTGCCAATTAAATAAACGTCAATAAGCCTTTACAAAAACAATTAAACACAACACAAAACTTGAAACAAACAAAACCAAAACCGAATCTTAATAAAAGTTCTCGAGAAAAAGGGCACTTAAACGAACACTCATTAGTAAAACATCATTAATATCTCAATAAGTTAATCTAAAGTCGAGAGAATTGCTAAAATATTCAATTTGACGTCTTAATCTAATTAATACTTAAGTAAACCGTAGCTAATTATATTATCAAAATAGATTTTAACCTCTCCAACTGTTAAAGTATTTGGTATTTGAGACTTACTTAGAATTCAGATCTCTGTGTCTTTTATTTACCGAAGGGATAGGCAGAGAAGTTGATCGTAAACGTAACAACTACTTATGACCAGATATGATACGATAATATGAGTCTTGTATAGAATGGCCCAAAATTCAATTCATTCAGTGTGTAGATAGGCTCAAAATCAGGTGTTACTGTAATTAATTGTTAAAAATCTTAAATACTTTAACCAATCCGAGAGAGAGTGGAGTTTTAGACCAGTTTTAGTTTTAGTGCCTCTGTGAAAGAGCTATCCCTTTGTTCGGCTCTTACGATAACCCAGGAAGAGCTGGGATGCTGAAAGTTGATTTACATTGACGGCATTCTATGGTAAAGCTGGATAAAAAAGTAAGGATATTCTACCTCTATTTTAGATAACTCCAATACCTGCCTAGAGATACGCAACATACGAATTTAGGTAGAAAGATTTATTAAACAATCCATGTCGGGATACAACACAGCTATTTCAGAATAAAAAAGCGTTCGTAATTCCCAGGCATCATACCTCTATATCTACGTATATGGACCCAAAATTAACTCCAAACATATTTCCAACTTAATTTAGCGGCTGAAATAAAGTGTACATTAATATACGCGCAAACTGGCTTGTTTTTTGTTACGTAAACAAGGAGTATGTAGTTAATGGAGTGCTCAAGGTCAACTGTCAGTGGATGCGGTGTTAAAAATTCATGTGACTGGACGCAGATTGGATTGGTTAATTTAAGTTCTGTTGTGATTAAAATTTGAAATTTTTTGTTGGTCGAAAACAGGATTTTTCGTGTAACTTTATATTACGTAGCTATGCCTTTTTAATCAACCAGTGCTCAATATTAAGAAATTGCCTCCGTTACGTACATCATGTCGCTCAAGGTGCTCCTGCGACGTCAAAATGTGTGATGATTACTACACTCTTTTAACTGTCTGTAAAATTATTCCACAAAAAATAAATACACCTTATTCTTCCATTTTTACAGCAAACTCCTCTATGTTACAAAACAATCCGGTTTATCTCCACCTCTGTCAGCGCGGCACGAACACCGACGAGCTGGCCCGAAATAAAATTAATCCTTCGGGATGTTCCCCCGTAGGATTACGGGTTACGACTCCATTCTTTACTTTTCCAACACCGTAGAATTTACTTGACAAATCGGAAAGGGTTATGTGAATGTCATATCTTAAGATGCAGGTAAATCTTAAAAAACACTGTTATTTTATATACCCCATTGTTGGAACGTTCACCAGTTTGACTGATAAGGCCTCCAACACACCTAGCTATATAAGTATTGAGTACTAGTCTAATAAGTAAAAACAGTAATTACTGGCCTAAAATCTAATTAGATTTGCAAGCTATCTTAAATATTTAAGTGTGGGAAAGCCATGCTTCGGCACGAATAGGCTGGCACGACCGAAGTGATACCACGGCCTCACAGAAAACCGACGTGAAACAACGTGTGAGTTAAATTACGCTTGCTTTGTGTTTCGTCGTGTGAGTTAAGTTACCGAAGGCCCAATTACCCCCTCCCCTTCCCCAATCTCGCTAACCCCTGAATCCCTAACAATCTTCAAATTCCTAATCCCCAAAAGGCTGGTAACGCTCTCGTAACGCCTCTGGTGTTTCAGGTGTCAACGCCGATTGCTTATTATCAGGTGATACGTCAGCTCGTTTACCGGCTTGTGCCATAAAAAAAAAACAATATTGTGAGCTTGCAAGATTCCGAATTTTCCAAAACACTAATTTGTTTGAGAGATGTGTCGGATATTTGGTAATAGACTCGACATGTGTTACATGGTACCCATAGTGTAACCAGCAAAAACGATATCAAAGCGTAACGGTGTTACTTTTGTTAGTTAACATTCCATCATTAGGTACATTTCTATCTACCCCTTCGTGAAGTCGCGGAGAACCTAACGGGTAACCGGGGCTCCGGCTCGACGTGCAGGAGAAGGAACGGGGTGGTTTTTAGTCAGTAAGAGTCTGACACTCCCTTCCGCCTCACCCAGGCGGGAACAGTCATTCGATGATTTTCCCCCCTTAAAAAAAAACCCCTTCGTGAAAAGGCGTGACGTTATACAATGTCGTTGTTTATACACAAGAAGGATCAACGCGATAAAATTCCGAGACGCTCCGGTCCTAGTGCGCACAAATAAATGTATTCCAATGGAAATAAGTTGGTACTCAAATGAAAGTGTCGCTGTTCATGTACAAGTTATTCGGAATAACTATTTTGTCAAGGATGACATATTTTATTATTTATGTATTTGCTAGCTTACTGCGTCTGACTTCGCCCGTGGTTAGAAGGTTTGTCTCAAATAGATCTGTCTCGAACTGTGAGTTTTTCAATTTTCTTATGGGTTTAGCCGGTAAACAATGTGATGCATCACCTGATGGTAAGAAATCGGTATCGCTCATGGACACCTGGAACACCAGAGGCGTTACAAGTGCATTATCGGTCGTTTGGAGATTAGGAATTTGAGATTGTTGGGGATTCAGGGATTGGAGATATAGGGGAAGGGGAGGGAGTAATTGGGAGAAAAATCTGAGAGGCCGTGGTATTACTCCGGTTGAGTGCAAAGAAACTAATAAATTGTTCCTCTTTGTAATTAGTGAGATTTTAAAGTAGTTATAAAACTTTTTCATAATAAACAGAGAACTTAGAAATAAGTTCTTCGATACATTATATTATAAGTATTCTTAGTTAAGATAAGTCTATATATCCTGAACTAAGCTATATTATTTTTGACTGAACAAATACCTCTGTTACGCAATATACAACTCAGAGCTCACAAGAAACGCTGAAAGTGACTGAAACTACTGAAATTTACATTTTACACCAGTTACATTCCAATTTACGCTGTCACTGTGTTCGTTGTAACGGAAAACGTCGCAAAATGATAGCAACATTGTCACGTAGCGTAGTATGGCAACACTGAGATACATTTTGTGCGCTACGGTATTATTTTGTTACCTAGTTTTAAGTAGTCTACTTTTACGTGAATTAATGTGAATTTTTCTTTGTTCTTGCTAACAAAAGGGATTGGATGACAGCTATTTCAAAAACGGTAAGTTTTATACCAATACTTGTTTATTATATTAATAACAACCCGCCCCGGTTTTGCATGGGTGCAATATGCATGTATTATACATATAAATCTTCCTTAAAAATTAATCTATCTATTAGAAAATCCGTTGAGTAGTTCTATAAAGTATAAAGATCTACGCATACATAGGGACAGACAGACGGCGGATAGCGACTTTGTTTTATTTATACTATGTAGTGAAAGTGATAACGATATCTGCTTATTGTACAAAAAATTCTTGCAAAATGGATTTAAAAGTAACTTTCTTTATACATTTTCGTTTTTAGTATGTCTAATTAAGACCATTTTAGGATAGCTTAATTTAACAATCATAACATCACGCCGTTTATCCAAGAAAGGGAGGCAGAGGTGCACGTTACAGCACTTAATGCCACTATACAATGTAACACCCACTTTTCTCTATTTATGTTATGAGTCCTATATAATTAATAGGGGGAGAGCCTATTGCTATATATCACGTACAATTCCAGACTCCGTGCTACTACGTTTTTTTTTTAAACTCAGTAGTCCTTTGCCCGATTCGGGACGTGAACTAGTACGTAGTTCAAGGCAAGGGGACTCCTTGCCCGGCAGTCGCACTTGCGACCACTCTCCCAACGAGGCAGTTACTAGCGTATTGTGTAGGCTAGGTATAGCATTAGTAATTATTCTGAGATATTCTTTTGTTTTTAGCTACCAGCCCCCCCTCACATCGAGCTGGTAATGGCCATGCCGTACCTCCGCACAGCATTCAAGAGACCAACTGTCAGAGTCAGACGTAAGTCCTTTTTTATATTTATATCTTACTACGACAATTTGGATGATGACAGGGTATGAAAATTAAAAATCTAGAGGTAATTAGTCCGTAAGTTAGGTAATGAAAAAATATTAGACACGTATTTTTTTTTTATTTTGTCGTATAATAAAACAATAGTTAGATAAAACAAATCAAAATTTAGGAATGGGGGCTAAAACGTCATATCTACGTATAAAATGTACATAGAAGTGACGTTCAAATCATCGAAAGTCGAAAGTATTTGTTTCTGTAAGAAAATAAAAAATACGTGTCTAATGATTTAATATAATCTACCAGACGGACATTAAAATAAAAATTAGGCATCTACCCTATTATGACTGCATGGTTGGCGCGGTGGCTGGGTAACCAATTGCCATGCAACATGCAGCAGGTTCGATTCCCATACGGAGCAACTCTTTGTGTGCTCCACAAATTCATGTGTGTTAACAAACAAGTTCACATAGAACTTGTATGGTTATAAAAGCACCCACGACACAAGAGAAAATGCTAGTGTGGAATAACATTAAAAAAAAGAAACAAGTGAATAATAATCGTGTCCCTTACTACGCAACACTCACAATATTATAACAAGCGAAAAGTAGGTGTTATTAACTTATACGCGAAGTCTTAAACATAGTGAAATGGCTCATATCCAAAGGAACAAACTCTTTTTCTTCTCTGCCGTATCTTTTCCCTATATTTTTACAAAGACAGAATTAAATTTAAGTGTGGGAGAGCCATGCTTCGGCACGAATGTGCCGGCTCGACCGGAGAGATACCACGGCCTCACAGAAAACCGACGTGAAGCAACGCTTGCGTTGTGTTTCGTCGTGTGAGTGAGGTTACCGGAGGCCCAATTATCCTCCCCTTCCTCAATCTCCCCAATCCCTGAATCCCCAACGATCCTCAAACTCCTAATCCCCAAATGGCCGGTAACGCACTTGTAACGCCTATGGTGTTCTAGGTGTCCATGGGCGACACCGATTGCCATTCCATCAGGTGATCCGTCTGCTCGTTTACCGTTATGCCATAAAAAAATAAAAACCATATAATATACGATAAACATTGTTACAAAATCATTGAAAATCACCCTTAAACTATTGCTCAACAATATCAAAGGTACAGCTTTATACATACACTTAAATACACAGAAATTCATCTCCATTTCCCCGTTCAAATCGATCACTGCAACGTACGTAGGTACAAGTAGCTACTATGCGTAGTATACTAACAATTGGACGTGCCAATAGGAGGGTTTCAAAGGATAGCACGTGCTGCTTTGTTTACCATAAACACGTGCAGTTACCGGTAGCACGTGGTGGATATAGCTTATCGATATAATATGTATTATTGGAATTAAATTAGAGTTGAAGAAAATTAATTGATTTATTATCTGTGGTAAGGTGTTCTACTTGGAGGAAAAAGAGAAAGAAGTGCTTTGTTCTTGAATATTCTCAGTTTGACCTGTGTATTGCCGGAATACTGAAACGATACTCAATTTTAAGTCGTGCTCAAATATCGTGCCATCTCTGTCATTTTACAAATAATTTGTAGAAATAGAACTATACTTAAACACGACTTAAAATTGAGTAGCGTTTCAGTATTCCGACATATGTATGTATGTATATTGTATATTTGTGCACGATTATTTCACGTTTGGCTGTACCGATATTAATACGGTTCGGTTTCAGTCAAGTGGTTGTTGCACTTTTTTGAGGAAGCAAAATCATCCAATGACGTCTCTCGCCCGGGTGAGGCGAGAGGAATTCTCAAACTCTTACTGACTAAAACCCACCCCGTTCCTAGTCATGCACTTCGAACTGGAGCCCAGGCAACCCGTTAAGCCCTTGGTGGCTTCAAAGAGAAGGTTGAAGTCGGTTTTTTTAAACGAAGATAATGTTATTATACAAGAATTATTATTTGTTCCACCTTGATTATGTCATTTGAGTTTTTTTTATTGTTAGATTAGATTATTTTGTAAAATACTTATTTATTTATTTTATTTATTAATTAACACTTCTGTATATTGGACATAAGATGGCGGACTTAATGCCGGGTGGCATTCTCTAACAGTCAACCATGTCAACTTGTACATATTACAACTGCAAAATGAAACTCAAAGTGTCAGGGAAGTAAATTACTTTTTAAATATATTCTATTTCTGACTACATTTATATGCGTATGACATGGTTATTTTCCTAAAAACACAGACACAAAGAAGTCCCTTCCTGCTTCATCTTCAAAAGAAAAAAACATCAATTAAAAATGTTTAATTAACGTGCGTCAAATGATTAAAGCGAAAACATGAGAGGGAGTAGAGAAAGGAAATTAAATTTTAAGTCTCAGGGAATAGGGTCGGAATTGATTCTTGATATACATTTTAATCGGAACCAGCGTCCACGGTCGGATGGTTAGTCAGATTGAATTCGAAGTTACGTAATCGATTAGCTGATGCGATTGTTTCGATAAAATCGAAAATCGATTAATGGATTGTTCAGCGCATTGGGAGTTATATCTCGTTATTTTATGTTGATTCGGACTTAGAAATTTCAAATTTGAGTTTTTGTAAAGGTTCTTTAGTTTCAATTGGAAATCATGAAGTTGACCCTATTCTAACTTTCTACAATATTACACGTTATATTTTTCTATACATACTATAGTTAGTCGTTATTACATGGGACCCATAACATAACAGATAATTAGTGAAAAATGACATTAAAAAAGGGTGAGTCTGGTTATCCCTTTGAAGACGAAAGATCTGTTAAACCAAGGATCCTCTATCCTTGGTTCAACACACCTTTGTCACACACACCACACAAATGTCCCACCGTTTTTAACACATCACCCAAATATCCCACGACATGTATCGGCGACATCGTCAAGCGAAGCCTGCCGATTTCGCCCGACATATTATAAGGCGACAACGCGCGCCATAGGTCCGCACTCCACAGCGACATTGATGTTGCCAGACATGTCGACCAAAGTCTGGCAACGTCGCGCTACTACACCCAACGTTGTTAGCGACACGTGTCGCAGGACATTTGTCTCCTACAGTATCTTTGGCTTTATGTTGTACTGCGACCCGCCCCGGCTTCGCACGGGTGCAATATGCATGTACATACATAACATCACGCCTTTTTATCCTCGAAGTGGTAGGCAGAGGTGCACATTACGGCACTAATGCCACTGTACAATGTAACACCCACTTTTCACTATTTATGTTATAAGTCCCATGTAATAGGGGGTGAGCCTATTGCCATATGCATGTATCCTTACTAATATTATAAATGGGAAAGTGAGTTTGTTTGGTTGTTTGTTTGTTTGTTTGTTCCACTTTCACGCCGTAATTACTAAACCGATTGCTTTGAACTTTTGAAGACGTAAATTTTGAAGTTCTAATTAAATAATAGGGTACTTTTTAACCCGGAAAAATTTGATATTCCCGAGGGAAAACAAAATATTGGTATAGATGGCGCTGTGTGTATTAGTATATGTCACATAGGCTACTTTTATCCTTTTGTGACGCGAGCGAAGCCACGGGTAAAAGCTAGTTATACATATAACCATTCCTTAAAAATCACTCTATCTATTAAAAAAAACCGCATCAAAATCCGTTGCGTAGTTTTAAAGATCTAAGCATACATAGGGACAGACTGACGGTAGATAGCGACTTTGTTTTATACTATGTAGTGATGAACTTTAATTAATTAGTTTGTCATGTTACTAATATTATGTTTTATAGAAAAAAAAAAAACAATTACTAATGCTTCTTGAAAAAAAAAACAATTACTAATGCTTAAAACTTCAACAGCAGTATTTACAACCGTTCGAAATGAACCAGTGAAACTTATTTACATTATAAAATCAAGTTACACACTCAATTTACATGTAAAAAGGGGATGTTTTACTTAGAAATGTTGCGCTCAGCTTCCATTTTAACTAGATGTGGTTTTAATCTCATTAGTAACTACACAGCACTATCTAAGTACCTCTCTGAACTCAAACTAACTACGTCAGAGTACATTTGTATGACGTCACGTATTTATTTAATTTAGCCGCGATAAGATAAGCCTGTATGCTAATTATTACAATTTCTGTTGAATAATTCTACGTGTTCTCCAAGGAGGTTCTGTGTTAAGATATTATTATCTGTGGATGTATTTTGAGGCTGACTGTTGGTGTTTGAATGGGAAATTGTTTTGTTTTATGGGGTTAGCGAAAAGACAAATGACGAATTGTAACGTCGGCAGTCATTGAATGATTTTTCCCACTCAAAAAAGCCCACTTGCAACACTAAATGTTATAAGTGTATTATTACACAAAGTTATAAGTGCATTATCATCATCTGCCTGTAGTTATCCCACTAGGTACTTCTTCTCACTCTTGTTCTTCTACAAAAAAGGTTAGAAGTTCGTTGCTGGTCTTTTTTATGAGATAAGCCGGTAAACGAGCAGACAGATCACCTGATAGTAAACAATCGGCGTCGCCCATGGACACCTAGAATACCAGAAGCGTTACAGGTGCCTTACCGGCCTTTTAGGATTAGGGATTTGAGGATTGTTGGGGATTCAAGGATTGGGAAAGAAAGCGGGGGGGGGGGGGTAATTTAGCCTCCGGTAACCTCACTCACACGACGAAACACAACGTAAGCGTTGTTTCGCGTCGGATTTCTGCTCGGCCGTGGCATCACTCCGGTCGAGCCGACCCATTCGTGCTGAAGCATGGCTCTCCCGTACTATCTTCTTCTTCGTCTTTTTAAAAAGAGTAAGCCCTTTTCCTAAAGTTTATCTACCTGAAAAAGTGTTATCGTTAGTCGAACGCTCGTAACCACGACTGCCGAGTAAGAGGTCCCTTGGGTTCAGTTCTCGAATCACACAAAGTTTTATTGAGCTTTTTGGAGGTATCACGTAGTCTTACAATAGGTACTATCCTTAAGATTTTTTTATAATTATTGGTCCTATTAAATGATGATTGTAACAAGA